CCTTCTCCCTGCGGTGGCCCACCACGTGCCACCATCTTCCCCCGGTTCTGCCCCGGGCATCCATCTCGCTCCTCACCCCCATGCCGGTACTTTTGTGTCCGTCCATCCCACGTTAGCCCATCATCTCAGCTCTGGTCTTTCTCCCCGCTGCCACCCTTGGCCTCTCTCCTGTGATGCCTTTAACCCTCGCTTGGCTCCTGCTCACCTCTGTTTCACGGGTGTAAGGTGCTGCAGTCCCTGGGCTCTGCTGCTCCTCTCTCCCTGTAACTCCCGCCGTGCAGTTACGCAATCCAATTCTGCTGTTACTAGTCTCTTAACTTCTTTCATCTCATTATTCCTCTGCGGTTTGTCTCATGTCTGGCTCCTGTTTTGCCCTGGCCCACGCTGGTCTTCACGGCCCTCCTGCAATTTCTCCTTTGCTTGCTGTTTTTATAGAATTCTCATTTCTGCAATCACCTCCTTTCTTTATGATCCTTCCCTTCTTCAGATTCCTGGAATTCCTGGAAATTCATTACTCTGTCCTTTGAGTTTGTAGCCCTAACTAGCTCCCTGTTGCATTTTTTTTTTTTTTAATTAACCCACGTGATGGAGGAGCCACGCTCAAGTAGCTTTTCCCTTTTTTAAGGTAATCTAGAGTAAGGCTATGTATGATATGTGTGTCTCTCTTCACTGAAGCTGCCGGAACACCTGCCAATGTATGAAACGCGTGCGTGTCCGACGTGGCTCAGCGGTTGGGCAGGAGAGCGTGTCTCCAGGTCCCCCGCGTGCTCACAGAGCCGTGTTTGTACCTGCATGCGTGTTGGGTCAGGGGCTGGCATTCCTCAGGCTCTAGATGCCTCCAGCCCCGTCACCTACGGGATGGTTTAGTCTAGGCTGACGGTTATATGAGCACAGAACTTGCTTAGTCGATAAGACAAAATTTGAGAGCTAACTGCTTACAAAGGAGTTTGAGTTAGAAGTTTGGTAATTTTTCTATGCCAAACAATGATTAAATGAGTGGCTGCCAAAGAGAGAGCTGCAGTCCCAAGGCTCATGGGGCTCTGCTCTAGGTGTTTCCAGCGGATGATTTGGGAGGTGATTCCAGGCACCCATAACCTATTGCACACTTGAATGGTTTTTAGTCCTCAGGTTTTGTTAGGGGGTCTGTCAATTGGGTCCATTAGGGCCTTCGTTTGTGAAGGTGCAAGCTCAAGGCAGGCTCTAAAATGTTATCTTCACAGTTAGTGTGTCATGGAGAAAAGCTTGGTAGTTTGGTGCGAGGTGACCAGAGAGGTGATTGGGATAATAATTGTCTTAAATGACTCTGTCTCTGTTGTGGAAGCCTGACTTCTAATATTATCGGCACTGCATGTGCAGGTTAAAAAAAAAGGATGCTGAAGCTTAAGTCCCTGGAGGTGTTAGGTCTGAGCATGTTTGCGGGTGCGGTCATCTGCTGATGGCATTGTCTGTGCACTCAACAGCACATGGAGCAGAAGAGCCTGTGGTCGGCAGGATTGCCGAGCTGGGATCCTTTCCCTGGGCTGATGATGAAGGTTTTGTGTTACGATTACCTGTGCTGGGTGTATTGTATTTCTTGCTTCAGGGAGTGTTTAAAACAAATTCCTGTCTTCCCTTACAGTCAGCATGAAAACGCTGATCAAGATACAGGAAACAAGAACACGAACGGTTTACAAAGGACAGTGTCATCGGAATCAACAGACTCAGGTACGGCTTCCTCAATTAATAAATAACGGGTAAGAAATAAAAAGTATTGGATCTTTACGTGGCTTCCACTGCAGGCAGCTTCCAGGGTTCGGATCGAGAACCTGTGCTGCCTGCCTGCAGCCCTCTGCAGCTGTTTCTCATTCTTGCGCCCTGGAAAGGAGGGAGACAGGCAAACCATCGCTTGGCAAGCTTCTGCAGTTCATGGCTTGGGTTGTGGGGGCGTTTTTTTGCTTGAATTGCCCTGCAGTATGTTAGCAGCAGAGCTAGCACGGAGGAAAAACTGGTTCTGCCCCTGGAGGAGAACTCTGACAGAGATGGCTTTTCCCTTTTTCCTTAGCATGGCTGTTAAGACATGGTTCCTGCTCTGTCACGCTTTGTCCTGCAGCAGGATGTTTATCACTGCCATTTTCTGATTGCCTTGGTGTTCTGCCCGGTACCTGGCAGTAGTTCACCGCCTTATCGTGAGTGTGTCAACCTCTCGTGCAGTTGAGACAGCCGAGGATGAAGGCAGCTCAAGTTAGCCCCAGACAGGCTTCCCTAGGAGTTGGGTTCCCACCATTCTCTGGGCTGCGGCGTCTTGCAGATATTGGCCTGTGAGCATTTATAGCTGCGTGTTGGGGCTGTGGTCTGGAGAACGGGGAGATAGGGTTTCATTCTTCATTGTCAGGACCCGTCGCATATCTGTGTTGGGCTCTGAATGGGACCGATGGGAGTTGCTGCCCTTTGATGAAAGCAAACCCCGTGTGGTTTCTCTCTTTAAACCCAAGCTGTGCTAACCTGCTCCGCACGCTCCAGTCGAGCCCATTGAGCAGGGTTTGTCTTGTGGTTTGGGGTTTTTTGCAGCTCTTTGTTAAAACAAGCTGATGGTTTATCTGCCACATGAGGAGCTCTGTCTTAGTGCTGATACTTGCCCCAAAGTATTTTCCTTTCAGATGAGATGTTTTATCAGTGGAAATGAAACAAGCTATTACCCCATAACCTGTAGAATCAGGGAAGCTTCTGATACTTCATTGGTCCAGCCCAGCGATGGAAATCGGTGTCTCCATCTGAATTTATGCACCAGTCTGACTGCGTGGTACTTTCAGCCTTCAAAGGAACTTTATGAACTCCTAAAACACAAGCACAGCTCACGAACCACTGAGTGGGACAGAACAGCCAAGCTTGCTAAATCTCTGCTTTCTTGTTGACTTTTTCTTTTTTTTTTTTTTTTTTTTTCCCCCTGTCTTCAAAGCAGGTCTTAAGTGCTTACAAAACACGATTAAGGTTTCTGCTGTGCTGAGACCACTACCTGTGGTGTTAATCAAATTAATTCTTTGTAGTTGCTTGTTTAGCTCACAGTCACTGGAGCAGCAACAAGTCTTGTCATGATGGTATAGAGAGTGTCCTGGTAAGCTGTTGGCCCGTCGCTAGGGCTTGCAAATACCACCGTGATACAAGAACTCCTCGGGGAGCTGGATTTAAGCAGGCTTCATATCTGACTGTGCTTAAATGCTGCGTAGCTGTAACGTTTCCCTCGGTTTGTGCTCGTGGAGTGCTTGCTGTTATTTCCAGTACCCTCACGTGCTTTAAGAAGGGCCTTTTGGCTACTTTTTTTGAATGAGCCCAGAATTTCTTCCTGTAAAGAGGTGTAACTGAAAACATGGCTTAAAAATCCTAAAGGACCAAGCTGTTGGTTAAGAGGTCTGAGAGAACAAGCAGAGAGCGTTCCATGCGGCGGGGCAGCACTCGCTTCTGTGTGACATCCTAGGCAGGGCTAGGGGTGCTTTGTTTAATTACTCCTGCTTTTCCCCAAGCACTAACACCTGATTATCGATGGTAAAAGCCCAACAGGATGGAGTATCTGTAACTTGTTCACTTCTACATGGAGATGAGGCTGCAGAGTGAACCTGCGACATCAGATTCCTGCCCGAGCTCGGGGTCTTTTGGATGAAATCCAGCGATGTCCAAGAATTTGTGTTTCCCAGGTGCTCAGTAGAAAATATTTTCTCTCCTCTGCAGGTTGTGCTTTGGATTCGCCTGGTCCTGCAACCTCAAACGATATCATGGAGGAAACGTACGTAGCCATGTGCTGAGCCTGACTTCTGACATTTCACCCTGCACCATTAACGAACGTAGGCTAACGAGAGGCTGGACGTGGCTTTGCCTTTGCTGGCATGTGTGCAGCGGGCTCCTCTCTCTTCAGCATCTCGAAGTGCATGCTGTAGGGCTCTGCAGCTTGAGGTGGCAGGTTTTCTGTCTGCTGCATGCCCCAGAGCACTTAACGAGTCTGGGGTCTGAGTCAATGTGTTGTACCAACCAGACCGAGCACAACATTAGCATCTCACCAGGAGGCTGAGCCTGCACCCAGCTGCATCTAAGCTGCGATTTTAAACTCTAAGCTTGTATGTGCCTTAACTGGTACCACGCAGTTGCTCTTAGCTTTGAATTTGCCACTCTCAATTAGATTATTATTATTTTCCCAATCTTCTCTTCCCCAGGGATGGGGGACAGATGCTTTTGGTCTCTGATTTACCGAGCTTTTCTTCCTTCAACCTAGCCTCTTGCCTGAACAATGCTGAAAATTCAAGGAAAGGAAAGGAGAAGGAGTCTAGCTAGTAGTTTGAAAACTCTGATGGGATAAGCTTGCTATAAAGCTTTTGAAAAAGACAAAGTGTCATCAAGAAGCATGTTGGCTTCTGCTTAGCATAACTCTTCATGATTTAAATACAAGGTTGATTTCTAGTGTACGATCCTTCGGTTCTAACTGTGAGGTGTCTCGCTTGCTTTTAGGTTTGAGAAAGCAGTTCTTGAATCCAGCAGGCTGCAGTAAGTACATTTCTATTTTAACTTCTTTGTCAGTGACTGTTGTAGCTTACGGAGTTGTATTGGGGGGGAGATAGTGAGTTCTACTCACGTTACTGTATTTTAAACCAAAATGTTGAAATAAATCTTGGTTCTCTTTCGTTGTAGCATGCGAATGCCTTTCAGAAGAATACATTCACTGCCAGTAAGTGATGGTGATATTGGTCTTGTATAAATGTTAATGGATTTAGCATGTTAAGTGTTTTTAGCTGGATACAGTCTATAACTTGTTAATTTTCTGTCTTCAAGAACAGCTGCTGTGGTGCTTAATTAAAACTGTCAAAATTACAGCTTGTAAACTCCAAATCTCATTTAAATTAGCGTGAAGCTTCAGTGACATGGCTTTGTCACTAGTGCCATTGCAGCATTTTGTTACCTGTGCTGAAATGTCAGTGTAAAAGGCTCCTGCACATAGTTTGCACCAATTAGTAGTCAGAGACCTTACAGCCTTTATTAACCCTTGGTTTGCTGAAAGTGTAGTTGTGCACAGACTCTGTTGCACAGTACTGAACTTCTGTACGAACGTTGCAGCAAAGCCTCCTGGGATGCAGCCCTGCTCTGAAGAGAAGCCATTCCGATTCTCTGGACAGTGATGCTTTTCAACCGCTGGAACAAGATGAAAATAAGGAGAATGTAAGTGTCGCTGTCTGCTTCCTGTGATGACAGGGTGTAAGAGGGGGTGGCAAGGAAGCTGAATTAGCACATGCCTTTGACAGCAGATGCGGGGAAAAAGGCTTTTCCTCTCCACCAGGCTGTAGCTCAGACATAACGAAGTTTTGCAGAGCTTATTTTGGGGGAACTCACAGTGAGGTGTGACAGCACTGATACAGTGGCTGCAAACTGATAATAGGTCGATAAAAATTATGAAGATTTTGATTGCGCAGCTCTACCTTCGTGCTTCTGAACCTGACTCCTTTCAGACTGTGGCAAGGGAAAATGTATCGGTACTGCTGGCTTTAGATAGCTACGAGGGGAGCCTCCAGAAAGCTGTTGAGATGGATCACCTCATCTCTTTCCATCCCAGACATGGGGACCCCTTGTTCCTTGCAGCACAAGTGTCCTTTTGCCTGCTTGGTATGAGAGGCCTTGCTGCTGGAGATCCCATCGGCAGCACTCTGAGAGGTCTCTGCAGAAGAGCTGGTGTCAGGAGCCAGCCCTGGCTGCCTTTAAAAGTGGTTTATTTTGCAGAACTTGACTGACAAAAGAAATAGAAAAGCCTTAAGCCTGTGGGTCATATCAAGAGGATGAAAGCTTGGTTATGTTAAATGGATTGTGACATCTTTAAGTTGAAAATACTCTCCTTCGGACTATTCCGGCTGGTAGCAGGGAACTGAAATCCAAAACATCAGGTAGCTTAAAAAAAAAAAAGTCCTAGCAACTTATGCTGTTTGTAATTTTGTTAAAAATTATCCCTTTGCTCTTTTTTAATTCAGGAATCGTTTGAGTTTAAGAAGCCAACCAAACCAGCTTCTCGTAGCTCTGCGCATGTCCATTCCCGTGATGGAAAAGGTGTTCCTGGACCGAGGCAGAATTCATCTGCAGCTCGGACAGTAAGTAATATGGTGTTATTTGCAACTAATTCTCGCCCGATCCTCTGCACGTAGATTGGGAGGAAGAAAAATTGCATCAGGATTCTAAGACAATGCTGTTAATCACTGCCACTCATGTGCCAAACAGAAAAACTTGTCTGTCTGCTGGATAGGAAAACTCTTGTCAGGTTTGTCTTAGGAGATGCTCAGGAGTTTGAAACCTGGGTTGTTCTGTAGCCTGTGAAAGATGAGTCAGCGCAGAGCTGAGGCTGTGCTGCAGTCAGACAAGGCCGTGTGGATGTTGATGTGGAATAGAGGAATTCCGTTTGTCATTGTTTTCACCATCAATAAAGTAGATATTTACACTGAGGCAGATGCTTTTGGAATAATGAAGCCAGCTGTGTAGATGCAACACACTCTTATGGCCAGATTAGACATGCAGGAATGAAATTACCTTATTCATATTTTATTGCTTAGAAAAAGTAACTGAAAGAACATGGTGTGGGTCCTGGTACAGAAAGAGAGCTGGGGGGCTAAGTCTTGTCTCCGCTCCTTAAATCTAGCAGCCCTTCGTCCTGCCTAGTACTCCTGATTTCACACCTAGCAACTGCAGAGTTCGTGTTAATTCTTGTTCCTACTGACATGACCCATTTCTCTCCTTCACACCTTCGCTGGATAGCTTCTTCCAGAGAAGAGAGTTATTGCTTAACGAGGCTAACGAAGCGCTCTGCTGTTGTAGGGGTCAAACAAAAGTATAGGAACTTGGGGTTTGCTGAAGTCAGTGTGTTCAAGGTGGTGGAATAGCTGCCACCTTTTATGTAGTGCAGGAGAGGTGTGGGTTCACCTCTGTGGTTACGGCAGCCTGCAGTGAAGAGGTGGGATGTTAACTCTGTCTTCTCTCAGCTTCCCATGGGTGAGATATCCCCAGGTGAACAGGATAGTGGTCTTCTCTGACTTCCTCTGAAAGCGAAGATGATGATGGATTCCTAGAGCTGTTGGATGAGCAAGATTTGAAGGTACGTACAAAGGAAATATGATGGACATTTCGAAATTGTCTCTGACAACCATACTTGTCCATGGTGCATGTATGTTCTAGCAGAATTCAGTGTGGTAAGTCAAACTGCAAACAGCTAGGGCCTAGGGAATCCTGGAAGATCAGTTATCATCATCATCGTTGTCTTTTTCAACTCTTACATTTCAGTGTCTGAATCATTTATGTGCTGTTTCCTAGTGCAGACAGTGGGATTTACTTGGAGCGTGAGCAGCAGTTCATTTAAGAATGGCTACTGTTCTTATTGGTAGATGAGAACTGTGCTACTAGAGAGTTATTTGAACGGTTGGCATTTTTATTTAGAAACTTGCTGAAAGAGCTAGAGGTGATATTTGCTTTTGAGACATTTAAATAGAAGACTGTTCCTAGCTGAATTTGAAATGCTTAAAGCTTCAGAGGAATATCATTGTTAATCAATCAATGAATTGATGTTATTTACCTTGTCCAACATGTCCCAACTCTGTTATTTCATCGCCTAGAAATGGAGTTAAATTCCTAACACTGCTCTGACAGCTGAATTCAACTGGAATGTTTGCCCAAGCTGTGCAGAAGCTGTAGATATTTACAGTCTCTGCCCACAGCAAAACAGACGAGAATGAACTTTCTTTTTTTTCTCAGAACGATGAGGAGGTGCCATCTGATGTGGCGAGCCTCTGGACTGCACCACTAGTCATGAGGAGAGCGGACAATCGGGTGAGTGTTCTCGTCTCTGTTCCGTTGTGCTCTCCCAGGACTTTGTTCTGGCGGCTGTTTTCACTGCCGGGACAAGCGCTCCCACTGTCTCTGCTCCTGGATCTCGAAAAACAACAAGGAAATGAGACGTGGCATAAACCCCCTTCACCGTTGTGATCTCTAAAGCCTGCTCACCTGGAAGACTTTGTCAGTGTGGAACACGCTCATGGTGTGTGTGTATAGGCGTTAGCTTTCTTGGTACAAAAACACTTCATAAATGCAAGGAGATCTTGACTTCCCTTATCAGCTGCCTCTTGACCACATTCTGCGCAGGCTGACCTGGAGTGCCTGGTGCCTGATCTTCTAACACTGGGCTGCGAAGGGAGTTTAGACTTCAGCAAAAAACTCCTTACACAGGGACTGTGTCTTATAGAAGGCAAAACTTGTGATAGTTTGCGAGTCTGAGGCTTGCTAAGTTTCTGAGCTAAATCTGTGCTAGACAGCTCTTGACTGCTCTCCTTTCTCGTAGGCCAAACGGTGCCGGTTGTTTGGCTCTTCATCTCTGCCTAATGGTGCAGGAAGAACCACCCAGAAAAGGATGGAGAGGTCCCAGGAGGAGAATTCTCCAGGGAAAAGCAAGAAGAGGAAAAGCCTGCCTGGAACACCTTCTGAGGATTCAACGGTTGGTGGCTTGGCATCCAGTTTTGTAACTCGGCATTGATGAGGAGAGGGTCTGATAGAGGTGTTTAGTTGATGAAGGTTAATGAGACAGCTTTTTGAGGTGAATCGCTGACCTGGCAAAACTGCATTCTCTGGGCATAGTGCAGGAGATTGGGGGAGCTGGTGCAGCAGTTGCCTACCCTTGAGCCTGAATTTTGCTTGAATCCAAAGGGGAAGCTGGGGAGTCGTAGTTCAGGGCTCCAGAATGAACTCTGAGGTTTCTGTCATGCTCTGGGGAAAGGGGTCTTTGCTCTCGGTGCTCGGCATTGATCTCTAACCTGTCTTCCTCTAGAGTTTGAAGATAGTGAAGACACAGTCCTCCACAGCAGAGATCGAGAGCATTTTGGACAACGACCAGAGAGATCTCATTGGTGACTTCTCAAAGGTAATTTGAGTGATTTGTTTTAATGATCTCTTTTGGTAGAGGTGTCTCAAGCTGGCCCAAGTAAGGCACCTCCCTTCTTTAACAGAACGTATTCCAGTGACGAGGAAAGGCTGTCGGTGAGGAGGGCGCTTTCATGAGTTAGACATGAAGTGATTCATTTGTGGTTATTCAAGAAGATCTACAAACCCCTTCAGTACAGGAGTAAAAGCTAAAATTCTGTCCCTGAATTTTAGAATTCTTAGTTTTAACTCTTGGGCTTTGCTTGTCAACAAAGTATCTGTGTTATAAAATTAACTGCTGAACGCTGTGCTGTTGCCTCTGTGGCTCACGCTTGGGTTATTCTCAGTTGACTGCTGTCTGTTTTCTAGGGTTACTTGTTCCACACTGTCGATGGCAAACATCAAGATTTAAAATACATTGACTCGGAAATGGTATGTGCTCCAGGGAGAGTGAGAAAAATTCTTTACTGGGGGTGGGGGGGAAAAAAGGCGCCACAAAACCATCTTAAAACAACTGAACTTCTTTCTTTTTGCAGATTGTGTCTGTGCTGACCGGGAAGTTTGCGAGCTTCATCAAGGAATGTGTGATAATTGATTGTAGATACCCATATGAGTACGAAGGAGGACACATCAAGGTATGTTGGCTCCGTAAGCGCAATGCGGAGTTGTCTGAAGTTGCCCCTAAGGCAAACTGGGGTCCCTTGGCACCGCGTGGGGCAGCTCTTTACTAGCGAGCGTCCAAGGCCACGTGGATACGTTATAGCTGAGGTGCCCAAGTGCCTCATGGGGGTCTAGGATCCTGTCACACCTACGCCCTGCGTGAATCTTGGGGCACTTTGCTCACATGTGGTCTGTAAAATTATTTCTCCCTCAGAGGAGGGAGCATTCCTTTTCTTTAAGTGGAGGAGCTGGCCTATGGGGCAAGCAGGAGACGGTTCCAGAGGAGGATGTAAGATACTCGGTGTCCAGCATCCTGATATCTAGGGAAGCTAAAATTAGAATACTAAACCGCATTTAAACCACAGATGTCAAAGAACGAATGGCTGTGCAAAACATAATTGAAGTTTGCTGCCTGAGCTAGCTGGCCAGCCCTCAAATGCAGTGAGGTGGGAAGGGACATCCAGCGAGCCACAGCCTACAGCTGTTGTAATGGCCACCTGAAACGGGTCTGGGCCACCCAGCGTCCGTGTTAGACTCCTTGTAGTGTTCTGCTTGGGTTTGAAGCTGTGTTCCCGATGGCTAGAGAGGGCTGCTAGAATTCCTGTAAGAAACTAAGATGAGGAGACAGCTCGCAAAGCAGTGGGATGGGTTTGTTCCTGTTCTCCTCCACTCACTGCGCGTGCTCAGGCGTGACTCTGCCTTCACAGGGTGCTGTGAACCTGCACATGGAAGAGGATGTGGAAGAGTACCTGCTGAAGAAGCCAATTAAGCCGTCGGAGAACAAGCGAGTGATCATCGTGTTTCACTGCGAGTTCTCTTCGGAGCGGGGCCCTCGAATGTGCGTGATTCCACACCCCTAGATCAGAGCTGACTGCTGTGCTAGGCGAGAGCAGAGCTGTCGGGGCGGCACTGGTTCCTGTGCTGGCATGCTGCCTCGTACGCAGTTTCTCGGGAGCAGGTGGCGGTTGTCACCCCTGGCAGGGATGTGATGCTGCCCGTGGTGCAAACGGCCGTGGTGAAGTTGGGCTGGGGCGCTGGAATGCTTAGAGGCAGAGGGGGAAGACCTCTAGCCGCAGTTTTGCAGCCAGTGGGGCTTGTCTGCCCGCTTGTGATCGGCAGCAGCTTGCTTCTGTAACCCGGGGAGTGGGAAGTTGTGGGTGAGGGCTGTTCCTATGTGTTGTTGGTTGAGTGTGAGATTTAATGGAGGATCTTCTCCTGCTGCAGGTGCCGGTTTGTGAGAGAGCGGGACAGGCTGGGGAACGAATACCCCAAGCTGCACTACCCAGAGCTCTACATCCTGAAGGGGGGCTACAGGGACTTCTTCTTACGATGCCGTGTAAGTAACGTTCTCTAAATTAATCTCTTTTGCACTCAGAGAAGAAGAAACGATAGATAAATAATACCGATGTACTCAATCAGGGCTCTCTTTGCAGTAGTGAGGTTTTTGCTGGGGTGGCTTTTCCTGCTCCATTTCACGGTGCTCTCGTGGACTGCGAGCAGTTAAAATCTGTCAGCGAGGCTCTCGGAGCCTGTTCCGTCCTTCAGAGCTGTCTTGGTGCTGTAGCTGAAAGGTTTTTCCACTTGTGTCAAGAGTCAAATATAAAACTGGTTTCTGCCCTTTTGTAACAACTACCTGGGAGTTATCCAGAGAAGGAACTGAGCGCTGCTCAGCCTGCAGGACTAGGATAGGAGAGAGGCTTGACAGTAGTTGCTGTGTAACAAATGGAAACCTGGAGTCTCACGCTGTGCTAAAATAGCAACACTGACAAACTCCAGCTTTGAGTTTTCAGCCTCTAATTCAGAAAAGGAAACTGAAAAGTGCCCAGCAGCTCCCTTATCAGCACTGTGCGGGCGGCATTTCTCGCATCGCTTGGCTTCTGCTGCTTCAGTGTTTCCGTGGCCATCCTCTCCTTCTCCAGCCCATTCTTCCTGCTCTTCTGACACAAACTGCAGCCTGACTGTCCCTTTACTCCCCCCAGGCCCTTGCCCTGTGGATTCCCTTCCTCCTCTGTGCCTTGGGGCGTTGTGAGATATTTGGCCTTTCTGTGGCCGCTGGGGTGGGGCTGGGGGAGGCTTCCCAGGGGGATGTCGGGGCTCTCAGCCTTTCGGCCGCCGCGGGGGATGGCAGTGTTGATGGCAGCGAGGGCTGTCCTGTTTTTTTGGCTCTCCCTGTGCTCCGCTGGCTCCCTGGGGAGGTGGACGCCTGGGTTTTTTTTTGGGCTGCGGGTATCCTCTCCCCGAGGTGGGAGGACCGAGTGCCTCGAGGTGGCAGCATGGAACAGGCGACGGTGGCCTTCAATGGGCTGGCGTGAGAGGCAGGGGCTGGCACTCCCCAGATAGGAGTGTTCTTCAACTCTGAGCTATTTCAAGGTGAATACTGGATAGATGTACTTTGTGTATCGCTGTCTGCCAAAAATTTGAGGCGAGAGCTCTGCGCACAGCGCTGAGAGTCCTTCATTCAACAGCCATCGCTTCTGAAGTGGCTGTGAGCTGCTGTCGCTTGGCTTTGCTCGTCAACGTCTGGTGCGAGGCTGCTGCTCGGGGTGGGACTCTGGTGCTGTTCCTTCTGGTGATGGTTGTTCAGGGGCTGCCAGGCCCTGGGGGTGGGTCTCACAGAGATCACGGCTCCCGTGGCACGTTGAAGTGACACCAGCTTTTCTTTCCCCAGAGTTTCTGCGAGCCCCAGAGCTACCGCCCCATGCACCACGAGGACTTTAAAGAAGACTTAAAAAGATTCCGCACCAAAAGCCGAACCTGGGCTGGCGAGAAGAGCAAAAGGGAACTCTACAGCCGCCTGAAGAAGCTCTGAGAGCTGAACCCAACAAGCAAAGACTGCCCAGCACGGGGGGGAGCCGGGCCTGGGTCTTGCTTGTGGTTATCGGGTTCCAGCTCCCCCCTCCTCTGTCTTACTGGGAACACCATGGAACTGGCTGCAGGCTTGAGCCGAGCAACTGGGACCTGACTTGTCCGAATACTCTTGTTATGCTGCCTCGTGGAAATGGCTTCTGGCGTTCTGTGACATCCCCCAAGCGCCCCGCAGTCTGCCCCGGAGGAGTGGGGAGAGGCTGTTGCCCGCCACGTGCAGGGGGCTGGGCTGGTGCGTGGGGAGGGTATTTTAGTGCCTGTTGGTTGTTTTTTTCTTAAATGCTTTATTTTATTTAAATACAGTCAAATGAAGCTAATACCACTGCGGTTTGTACTTCAACCTCGTTTGTGCTAAAGGGCAGCCTGCCGTCGGGGGGGTGGGTTCGTTATTTTTCTCAGCTGCAGCTTTGATTCTGTGTTTTTGTAGCGTTTTGTGTCCTGGTGAAGTGAAATGGGAAATAATTCGTTACAGCCGGAGGCTCCCACCTCACTGAGCTCCTGCCTTGCGCTGGGGGAAGCCTTCTGAAGGCAGTCTAAGGGGAAACTGCTTCTTGTACATAGACACCGTGTTCACCGTGTTTGCTTACTCTAGATTGTTCCATTTCATAGTAATTGGAGTTTGTTTGGTAGTAATTGGAGTTTAGCTGCTGCTGTAGCTTTAGAGGAGTTTCAAAAGAGGGAGAACTGCTGGGAGCTGAGGGTGATTCACAGCTCGGGTGATCCCAGACGTACTTGGGGACAAAGCTGTCACCAGGTTTCTCCGCAGCAGCTCCTGGCCCCTGCTCTCTCTGCGGCTGCATGTCGTTATCGTGAGCTGTGTCCAGGAGAGAGCCCGGCTGTGACGCATCACGCCAGCGACCCTGGGAGCCTGGTCTGGAACCGCTCCTGCTGCCGGGGGCTTGACGCCGGCTGCTTCTCCAGCAGCAGAAGCACCTTAAGGCAGGAAATAGTAATTCTAGAGGGAAGAGGAACTCCCTCAGCCGATGTGCCCCGTATCTGAGCCCTACAGATTGCCCATGTCCAGCAGATCGCGTGGTTCCGCGGCGCGGCCGTGCCAGCCCTAAAGCTGCTGCTGATCTCAGTGTTGCACAAAACCCAACTTTTGAACTTGGCAGCAGCCCAGTGATCTCGGGGCTTGCTGCAGCAGCACCTGATGGTCGCTGTAGCTCATCTTCCTCACGCTTTAAATTCTTGGTGAAACTGGGGCTCCCGCGGCCAGGCGCGCAGCCTGGGGCCAGCCATGCGTCCTTTATCAGAAATCCTGGCTCTGCAGGGCTCGGCTTGCTCCATGCCAGCTCGTCCTGCGTGCAGCTGTATCTGTGTCAAAAAAAAAAGGTGTAATGGAGGTGCCTTACGTGGAATTTTAACTTGAGGTTTTTTTAAAAACCGTTTCTTAAAACCTGCTGTTAATCCTTTCGAGAACTGAAAGGATAAATTTTGAACTCGAACTTTCTCATTTAAAAAAAAAAAAAATCTGATTTTGCTGGCTTCCCTCAAAGCTGCATATGTTGAATGGGAAGATGATGAGATGCCAAATCAGAAATGCCGATTGATCAGAAATGCCGATGACCAAATCCCTTTGTAAACGAGCGTGTCCCGGAAGGTCGGAGCTCCCGGAGGAGCCGGTACAGTGCTTGGGAGGGCGGCACGGCACGAGGAGATCAGGTGCCGGTGAGTCAGCAGGGAAGGCCCACTACGTGGACAGCGACGTGATCACCCCGAGCTGCTTTTTGGTGCAAGACCCGTTGCGCCAAGCCTGAGCGGTAAATAATCGGTTTGGCAATGCGACTGTTGGGCGAGACGGCTCGGTACAGCCGCGTGAAGAAATCATGAAAGTCTAACTTGACACTAGGCTCCATCTGCTTTTTTTGTTTTTTTTTTTTTTAACCAGAGTTGTGATGCTCTTTTCTGAGGTTGCTCATCTGGAGCAAAACCATTCTAGCAATCCCTGGCTTTCCAGCTGCGCTTCCTCCAAATACCCCTAAATGGGCTCATTATCCCAAACTTCCTGATATCCAGGAAACCAAACGTGTTGTGGTCGCTGGGACTCTTCATGGCCCAGCGGGATGGGGGGCTGTGAGCCGCAGCGGGCATGTTGGGGGATCAGAGGTGCCTGTAACCCTGCGGAGGTGGCAGCGAGACCCTTGCTTGGTGCCCCTCCTGGTTCTGCGTGCGCCGTGTTTCCTATGACCTGGGGTGGGGAGGAGAAGGCTGTGAGGTGGGTGCTGCTAAACAGAATCTGTAACATCTCGGTCCCCAACTGTATCGGAGTGCTGCGGGCTGAGAGAATAAAACGCTTAAAATCGCAATGGTTTCTTTAACTCAATTCATCTTCATGGTGGAAGGTGCTGGTGAGCTGCTTGGCTCTGGTCCGTGGCTTGAGAAGAAACCCGTGTTGGCAATCGCTGCTTCTCCTGGCTTGTGTTCTTTGCTCGTTGCTTCCAGGGTAACTTTAGATGAGGATGATGAGGATGGTGATGGTGGACACGTCTGCCCTGCTTTCCCGTCTGCCCAGGAGTCAGACCCCTCAGAGGGATGGTGGCTTTGTCCTGGTGTCCTGTAGAACCGCGGTGAGAACCGCTCCAGCCTCGTGTGGCAGCCCAGGACCCTGCCAGGGAGGGGCAGAGCTGGGAACGCCCGGTTCAGCCCCCGTTCAGCCCCAGTCTGGGCTCTTTCCAGGCTGATGGGGGTCTGTGATCACCGCCGTGGCTCGGGAGGGGCAGGGCTGCAGCCCTCAGACGTTCAATGCCGTGGATTTCCGTGCTCCGATGCTCCGAAGACTTGGAGCTCATGTTGGGATGAGGATCTGTGTTGGTGCTGGATGCTGTCCCCACTGCGGGCGGATCCGTGGAGGATGGTAACGGCTTCAGCACGAACATGGGGACGAAGAGCAGGCGGCCAGCAATGGGGTCAGTGTGAAAAACTCCAAACACAGCAGCGTGGCTTCCAATCCCCAGGAGGCTAAAGCCCAGACCCGGGCGGGTTTTTTTCCTCCTTGCTTCCATCTGTCATCCTGCAAATTGACGGGGAAAGCAGCTTATGGCTTCATCTGCTTTTCTGCTGCCGCAGAGCTTAGTGTTTTCTCTCCTATCGCTTCCCCCTTGGTGGCCTGAAAGGACACTTGTGCCGTCTTGTTCTCTTGCGACGGTTGCGGCTCAGGGAAAGGCAAACCCCGCCGGGGCAGCTTGGACATCCCGGGGATGCTGCCTCCCCGCAGCTTTCCAGCTGCCGCCTTCGGAAGAGGGAGAAGGTGGTTTTTCAGCTACAACCGTGCTGTTCCCTGGTGTGAAATCCTTTTGCAACTTTTTGGACAAACCTCCAGGCTTTGCCTTTCTGCCCTCGCTGTGTTCTTTGCCGGGAAGGGCTGCGCTGTGGCTCGTCCCTGGCCCCTCGTAGCCTTTTCTCGCATCTCCCTTCCCTCTGCGCGGCAGCGTGGCTGCTGTGAACCCCAACCTCGCTTTTTTTTCTGGAGTTTTTTCTTGAGTGGAGCTGCCTCCACCTGAGGCTCTGCCAGGCTCCCAGGAATTATCTGGGAATTATCAGAGCGTGTGATGGCTCTGCCGGGTACCCAGGGCGGTGAAAGGGCAAAGCAGGATGCTCTGGGTGAGCCCGAGTGCCTGGATTGAGGCAGAGGGGTTCAAATAATCACCTAAAATCCACTAATACGCCAGGGCTGCTCCTGCTGCTTTGCCGGGGCGATGCTGGGTGTGTTTCAGGGCAGCGGGTGGGACAGCCCTGTCCCCCCACAGCTGGGGCTTTGGTGCAGAGAAGTGACCAGAGCTGCCTCTGATGGCAACTGGGCTGTGCCTCGATGCGGGCGACGCGTGCTGATGGAGATTCACGCCGCTTTGCTGGGCAGAAGCTGCCTTGTTGAGAAAACCTTCGCTTCTCATCTCGGCGATTTGCTTTTAGGGACACGTGTGACTTAGCTGTCCCCTGGAGAACTACTGCATGGGCAGCAGCGCCCCAGAATTCCCGAAAACGTTGGTGCCAGGATTTTGCTGGGCTGCCATTTGGGTTTCCAAAGTCTAGTCTATTCTATTTTTCCATTCTATTTTCCTTTCTATTCCATTTTCCATTCTATTTTCTCTTCCCCATTCTCCATTCTATTCTCCATTCTATTCTGTTCTCCTTTCTGTTTTCCCTTCTCTTCTGATTCTCTGATTATCAAAAGCCCGCTGGTCCCTGCTCCGCTTTGGGCACGGTTACACCCCATCAGCAGGACGGGTGAGGGGACGGTCCCAGCTCCCAGCTCTGCACCAGTGCCTCCCCTTCCCCAGTACCCGCACTAACCAGGATGGCTCTGCCCTGGAGCGGGGCCCGTCGCCCTCCCTTCTCCGGGAGCGAGCAGCGGAGCCGCCAGCCAGGCGGGAGGGTGGAAGGTCCTTGTCAGAGGTCACCAAATCCCGGCAGAGCTGGAAACGAAGCTAATCTCCTGCTGTCGAGCCAAGCTCTGGGCAGGCTGGAGGAAACTCCCCGTGTGGCTGCCAGCCCTTGGCTGTGTCCCACGCCGATGGGGACGGCTGGGCTGCGCGTCCC